TTTAGTTAAGAGCTAATTTAAATAATCATAGTGAGAATCAGATGGAAATCTGTCCATCCTGTGTTCCAACTCTGAGGAGCGTCCAGCATTGGCCGGCTTGGTGCTTTTGCCCTCCAGGACTCTCAGAAAGCTATGGATTGCTCCGGCAGCCAAGAAGCATTTTATTATTGTGATTATTATTGTAATGAAATTGTGTTTTACTTTGTATTTGACTTCCTTTTGTGAACTGAAATAAAGACATGCTGAGAAATAGGCCCATTCATTTGAAACATTTCTTCTGGGAGGTAAGCTTATTCAGCACTGAAACCACCCTTAAGGGGCACATTGGAGTGGAAAACAAAATCACCATTGTCTATCATACACTATCTCTGTATATCTTACATCTCTATCCTGGGAAAAAACTGCTGAGCTTATTGTAACAGATTTCATAACAGAAAAAATGAAATACATCCATCTGAGTGCAGCAGAAAAAAGAAAAATGGCTGCAAACTAAAGTCTGAAAGGCAACAAGCGTGTGTGGGTCCATGCTGCGACTTAGTGATATTCATTGTTGTTGATGACGGCAGCACCTTGGAAATGAAACTAAGCTGAGCTGAAGCGTTATCTGTGATGTTTTTTTTTTCATTTGCAGCCCAACAAATATGAACGTGATGACACGACATGTTATGTAAACCCTCGTATTTAATTTGCTAATTTATTTGACTGCAGTTGTTTGAACTTGTAAATCTGCAGTCATCAAGGTCTTTATTACAAACACCTGTACACCTGTTTAGTCATGCAAATCTCCAATCAGCCAATCGTGTAGCAGCTGCACGGCATAAAAGCGAGACGCTAAAACTTGAGAGTTGCTCGTCTAACATCAGGCTGAGGTTTTCGCTGTCTAACAATTTCTGAGCCCGTTAATCTCGCAGTATTTACTGTGAGTTTACTGACAGTGCTGGAAAAAACAAAAGGCGTCCGGTGAGTGGCAGTTCTACAAACGAAAGCGCCTCTTTGACGAGAGAGGTCAGAGGAGTATGGGTTGGAGCTGACAGCAAGGCTACAGTACCTCAGATAACCGCTCTTTATGGCTGCACTGGGCAGAAAAGCAACTCAGACCCACAACATGTCAAAGTTTGAGGCAGATGGGCCGCAACAGCAGAAGACGATGTCAGGGCTCTCTCCTGTCAGGAGATGCAGTAGGTGCAGGCTCGCTCAGACTGGACAGTTGACTGGACCCCCCCAAAAAAGAAAAGAAACCGTTACCTGGTTATCATCTTTATGCAGCTGGCAGACTCACAACTTGGTGTCAACGGCGTGAAGCCATGGAACCTGTGCACACAGTCCTGCTGCTGGTGCACTTGTGTTGGTTGTTTTTAATACCAGTCAGTCACGAGTGTAGTTTCTGAGATGTTTAGCGTCGTCTAATGACAGCTTTAACGTGATTACTGATGTCACTGAACTCCCTGGGTACCAGATCTGATCAGCGTAGCAGTGACGCGGTGATTCTTTTTACCCGGGGGGGGATTTTCCCCAACCCCCCCAATTCCAGGTTCGTTGCGGTTGTTGCGGTTGCCCCTTTTTTTTTAAAAAAAAACAAACAAAAACTTATGTTTTTGACATCCATCATGATTCATGCTATTCCCAGTTTATATTCAGAAGGTGAAATGACAGCAATCAGCAAAAACAGTGCTCCCTAGAGAGATTTAACTGTCAAACAACGCACGCTGAGAAGTCTGATATGAATTTATGTGAACCCTCGATCATACAGCACAAACAAAAACAACCTAAAACTGTATACAGCATTTTTAATTAACTCATATTCAATTCAATTGTATTAATACAGCGTCAACAGTCACCTCAAGGCACTTTGTATTGTTGGTTAAAGACCCTACACTAATACATACAGAGAAGAACCCAGCAATCATATAACCCCCTATGAGCAAGCACTTTGGCGACAGTGGGAAGGAAAAACTCCCTTTGAACAGGAAGAAACCTCCAGCAGAACCGGGCTCAGGGAGGGGCGGGGCCATCTGCTGCGACCAGACAGGGTGAGAGAAGGAAGACAGGATAAAAGACATGGTCTAGCTGTATTATTAGGTTATGTTTGGAAAAGGTATTCAGCTCTTTTCCGTTATTACGTCTTACAGCGAGCAGCACATCCAGGTCCAGTTTAACACAACTACCAATCTTTCTGTGTTAGCGTGTGTTTTAGATTTTGAAGATGAAGGCAAAAAAAAAGAAAATCACAAATATTCCAAAGTAAAGTCAGGCTTTGATCGTTCATCAGAAGACGTTATCTCAGACACGGCAAAGTCGATTTATATCGTGGCCACTTTGATCGGAAGTGGGCTGGACCAATGAAACTATGTGATAAATGTGGAAGTTCATTGCACAGACTGTCCTGTCATTATGAAATATAAATTTTCTATTGTTTTCTTTCTTTTTTTAAATCTGGTGTAGGAACAGACATTTCTGTCGCAGATAAAAGTTATGTTATGAAGATACAGTTAAAATGTCCAAATCTATTCACTCCTTCACATCTTCCAGTACAGTGGGTCATATTGGAGTCTTTGCTGGGCTAATTCTGGCCCTTATGTTCGATATCGCTGTGTTAGACCATATTTTGCAGATTGAGTGTTTCAGACAAATATTGCTACAAGAACCCATAATCCCCAAAATGCAAGTGAGTGTGTTAATATTTCACTGTATAACCTGAATCCAGGTGCACCAAAGGAAATCTGAGGAAGGATAATGAGCAGCCCATCACTACGCCCGCTGCAGTGCTGTGCATGTCAGTCGGGAATGCGATTTTAAATAAAGGCTCCGTGGATCCTAGCACATGAGCTATCCTCAACTCTGCTCACCAACCCTCCAATTTCTCTGATCTTAATGTCTCTGTAATTAACCAAAAGTGCAAACTGCTATTTACAGAGACCTTGATTAGCCAGGCAGCAAAGTGGCTACAGTAAATATAGCTCATAAAAGTCAAGCAACATGGAAAATCAACCCTTGTGCAAACAGTTATTAATGTTCAGAACGCCCCAAATAGTTAATAGAGCTCGTCAGGGAGTTCAACAACTGGTCAACAATCCAATAATATTGCAGAACATGTTCATCCTTCAGATGGGACTTTGGCTCGCCATAATAAAACAATACATGCATCAACTTATTGGACAGGTTATTCACCCAATTACTGTCGCATGCCTCTAATATTTCGATTCCAGAAGCATACAGCAAATATAGCTCTCTGTCACTATACCCACAAACAGCCAACGGCAGCTACACCATCAGTGTACAATCCAGCTTCATTCCACTCCACACAGGAACACCCACAGTGGAGTGAACGCTTTTCATTGAAAACTGTGTTGTTTGATCATTTTGTAATTTATTGGTCATTTTTGTATCTGCAGGTACTCTTTGTCCCTTTGTGGTAGCTTTGTGTGTGTGTGTGTGTGTGTGTGTGTGTGTGTGTGTGTGTGTGTGTGAGAGTGTGTGTGTCCATTGTTATTTGTGTGTCATTTGTCTGTTTGTAAACTTTTCATGTGTGTTTTGTATTCTTCTTGTTCTTTTCTGTAAAGTTGTGATCCTCTCTGTGGTGTTTTGTTAGAAACCTGTCAAAGTGGACAGGGTACACTTTGGTTGAGTCCAGTATTTCAATGAATCAGCTGTGTTATTTATGAACTTTAAAGAATATTAACATTTCACAATATAAGTACATACATGCACATAATATTTAATAAATCCAGCAGTCCAGCTATTTTAGATTAGCCATTCTTCAGTAATCCATTCTGCATTATTAGTATGTTTACTTTCAATACTCAAACAAATGCGTGCTAATAATTTCCCCTTCTGTAATATCGCGTCTAATTGATTTTTTTTATGCAAAACTTGCATCAGTAATTCTACACAGTGCAATTTTAAAGGTATCTGTAATTCTACACCACTTACAGTCCAGAGATGCCAGAGTAATCAGAATAAATGAGCATTTCACAGACGATACTGCAAAACATGACAGTAACTCGCAGCTTTTCTCTGGGGAAAATTATTAATTAAAAGAAAAAAAAATTTAAAAAAAAAAGATTCATTGTAATTTTGGGGCCTCTGCGTGAGAAAAAAGAAAGACTTTTGTGTTTTGCGGTAACGGCCTTCCTCATACATGCACGTTAAAGACTGTTTTCACTGCTTCGGGATTAGCTCGTAAGCAGATGCACAAAAACTGAGGCATATGCAAAATCATAATCCATATGTGCCCTGTGTAATATCGGTGTTCAGTAAGCTGCTTTGGATAACTGCTTCCCCTCCACCACATGCTGCGCCGGGTTCACGGGCTCTATCGGGCGTTACGTCCAATAAATAAGCTTTCTATAGATTTTCCACGACGGGCTCCATTTTGTTGCCTTTCCCGTGCTGCCTCTGCTGCACGGCGGCCGGGAAGCAGAGCCTCCGCTCGCTCTCATCTTCTCACGTGCCACTTGCCGACTGTAGGTGGCGCTCAGAGCGCGAGAGACGGCAGCTTTCCTCCTCTGTGGCCGGACGGAGCCGAGCGAGAGAGGGAGAAGGAAGAGAGACCCCTGGATATAATTAAAGAGCGAGAGGGGGAGAGACGCGAGAAAACAGAAAGAGGTAGAAGCATTAATTTACTGTATGTGCGTGTGAAAATGCAGAGACGGGTTTAAATGCGAGGGTCACAGCGTGTGCGCACTTTGGTCTGCCATCTCGGGTGCGCGCAGGCTCGGACCTATGGCCGAGACACGACACCTTATAAAGATACATCAAATATAAAATCAGGTGTATTCACATAGAATACGGGGGTGACTGCAGCGGGGAAGTCGCCAAATGTTTGATTTGAAGAGAGAAAAAATGTTGGGAAATCCACGAAGTTGTTCGGGTGGATGCTCGCTCCGCCCCCGCCCCCTCCGGTGTAGTGTATAGAGTGTATGGGTGAGGGAGGGGGAGGATGGGGAAGAGAGCGAGATAGAGACCGGGAGGGAGGGAGAGAGAGAGAGAGAGAAGCGCGAGCGCACTCGTTTGGATTCACTCCACTTTCTCAGCACTCACGGTGCAGTCGCGCGACCTGCTCCGTGCTGGACCGGGAAGGCGGACAGAGTTTGAGGCGGCTGAGCGGTGAGCGCGCTTCTGAGTGGGAACTACCTGGAGACCCGCTGCTGACAGCTCCCGGACCTTGTGTTTGTTGCTCAGGTCGTTTTTTCTAAAAAAAAACCAAAAAATAACAAAACAAAAAAAACACTGCTGCCCTGTCCCATTGCTCCGTCCACCTCCACCCCAACATCTCCCCACGCGTGCCACCAGCGGAGGATGCTGCTGCTGCTGCCGCTGTCCGTAGAGCCCGGGCGGCGGTAACGTTTCTGCGGAGTAACTGAGTTACCCAACTCCTCCCCACCCCTCCTCGCCCGGACGGGTCTGCCCCCTCCTCCTCCTCCTCCTCCCCGGCTGGACTCCAGCTCCAGCCGCTCCTCCGGTGAGAGGAAGGACTGTCGGGCTGACGCGCAGCGCTGATCACGACACTCAGAGTGGACAGAGATTTGAGAGAAATTGGAGTAATCACCACCCCTGGCTGTCTGACTGGATTGTTTGGTTTATTTAGAGATTTGATTTTCGGGATTCTTATTTTTCTTTTTTTTTTCCCGGGAGGTCTGGAGCGGCTCCGTCTTGGTGCCGAGGAGGAGCGGAGCCTGTAGCCAGGCTGGAGCGCTCAGAGCCGGGGAACCGCGCAGCTCTTACCCGGTCCAGGTAGGAACTTCTCTGCACATAAATACGCGATCCATACACAAAATCTTTTTCTTCTATCTGCACATAACTACATTCATGCTAAATATTTCAAATATTTTGACTCGAGCTCCTTCTGTCGGACTGCAGGAGACGTTTTACGCACGAGAATAGCCCGAAACACATTCACTTTGTATTCAGTTTCGCTTGGATGAGCACTTATGCCTTAATTAAAAAACACATATTCGATGGAGGTTGAATCTCCGAAGGCACACGGGCGTTTGTGTCGAGCAGGAGCTCTTTTTAAAACACTTGTTGGTAAAAATAAATAAATAAATAAAATAAATCCATTTAGCGCGACTGGACCTTCATATTCTCTGCCTAATCTCCTCAGATGGCTTTTTTTTTTTTTTTTACCAGTGTTACACTACAGTGCTATTGATCCGTATCGATCCCCTCCCCGCTCAGCATTACCCCCGTGACTGTTAGTAATAAAATGCGTTCCTGTGGGTCACTTTGGGTTGATAAACCTTTCGGAACCTGGAACTAACCCCACGGTAATCCTGGCTAATGCATTCCGGGAGGAGAGTACAGTAGGGCAGAGTGTGCGCGCGGGTCCCTGTAGTGCATATAGGAGCATCATCATAAACTCAGTGGGGCTTCATTTAAGCTCGATCTGTAGGAGTTGTACGGGACGCTCGGTGTTCAGAGAATGTGAAAAGGCAGTGTCTTTATCACCTGAGGTTTGTCTTGGAATATAAGAGCTAATCTGCCTTTGGGGACTCTTGGCAACAAAACAGTCTATTCATCCACGGCTGCTAATAAACCAGACGCGCAGACGTGGGGGCATATATCATTCTCCATATCTGATCCTCTGCGGCACCTGAGGCCGCTTTGAGCACCTGTAGCATCAAATTAAACTCCCTTTTCCTCCGTCCTTAACACCCCCCTTTAATGAGCTTGTTTTCTGGAGCCTACGTGCCGTTAACATGGTGTGAAGGCAAATAAAGGCACAAGAGTATCAGTGTAAACTATCAAAGGTGGACAGGAGGGCAGCTGATGATGAATATCCACCGCGTCACCGCTTGGGAATCTAGTCAGTCCGGTCCCACCAGTCTCCGGCTTTCCGGTTCTCCTCCTTCCTTCTGTTCCATGTGTGCGTACGTGTATGTGCGCGTGCGCGCGCGTGTGTACTAGAAAGGGGGAGAGAGAGAGACCTGCTCCACATGAAGGAGGGAGGGAGGGAGCGAGAGAGAAAGAGAAAGGGGGGAGTGTATTTACATGCAAACTGCATCTGCCTCTCTGATACTGAGCTAAGTACTGGTGGTTTTCAAACACATGTTTCCGGAGACGCTTCCGTGGGAATCTGCCATGTTTTCTCTTCCTACACGCTTGACCTTTGACCCTATTCCCCACTACCCCACTGTCATCTCGCTCCCATAATTTCCTGTGAAACTCGTGATGTGAAATCATCCAGCTGCATTAGAAGCTTCATGTGTCTCAGCCAGTAAGGCGAGACCGTTGTAATCACATTTGGCCTTAAGGTAGATGTTGCACAGTAGAGCAGGTCCAGCGTGCTTCCTGGAACAACTGGAGAATCCACTTGAACAGTGGTGTTATTTAATAAAAGAATATTAATGAATTAATGTAGCCGCGTTGCTGCGTTCTGCTGTTGGACAAACATAAAAAGCCTCCGAGGGTGAGATTGTGGTTTTATGGTCGAGCTGGAGGGTTCCCCCCTGTGCATTCTGCCACTGTTAAGCGTAGATCCAGGTTTATTGTGCAGCAGGAGCGACTGAATTGGAGATATTCTCCCTGAGGTTTGCGGCCGGCTTCGATGGCAAGCCTGCTGTCACTTGAGCTTATGCCATCCGCCACTTTGAGGGTGAGGTCTGAGGTTTGATTCCCATCTTTAGGATTCTTCTCTTGCCTCCTCTAATTCAGGGTGATCAGATAAAACGGTGACAAACGTCACAGTCCTCCGTGGCTCTGCGGCGTGGGGGATTAGTCATTGGGGGGAGAAAGGGGATGGAGTGGGAGGAGGGAGGTCGCACCGAGTCCGTTCTGCACATTTCTGCGTAAAAATTGGAGATCTGAGCGAGTCGCATTGTTAATGCCCGTCATTAAAATAGGAGGAGGTAGAGTGGAAATGGGTTTGGTGTGTGAAATGGACACACACACATGCATTCACATCACTGCACTGCAGGAAAAGAGACATCCACCCTTCTGATTTCAGAGTTTTCACAGACAGTTTCCTTTCTAATTTAAGTTTAGGTGTGACAACGAGTGCGCAAATGGGAGAGGAAACCAAAAACTCGCATTAACACGCAGAAGAAAAAAGGAGAAATGGATGCTTTGTCACGTCTTTCCTGTGACACGGCTGGTTACTTGACTAATCCATTGTTTCTTCTTTTATGGTGTTTGGGTATGGCTCCTGAGCTCTTAGTCACAACTTGGAAATAGCAATAAAATCTTTGGCATCTCAGTGAAATTCACAAACAAGCTAGAAAAGTTTGACTGGCAGTAACATTTTCCAGTTAGATGATCCTTCGGTTAGTTTGGGAGGAAGAAAACCCTGAACAGGTCGCTCAGAGATGTGGTTGTACAACAGCCATCACATATTTTTCTATAGATTTCTATCCGAGAAGAAAACATGAATCATTTGAAATAAAACACAAACCTAGTTATAAATGCACATTCATGCTTCATTTTGAGTCTGTTAGGATGATGGGCTCCGGTTGGCTTTTGTGGTTTGTCGTTTTGTTTTTCTGAGATCAGATGTGTCCCCTCTTCCCACTGAAACCCTTACAGCTCGCGGAGCACACTGAACACGTCGCAGAGGTTTATATCTGCTTGGTAGCTACACTCTTGCTCTTCTGTAATAAGGCGAGGAGTCACGGGGGAACTCAGGGCATGGTGCTGTTGCAGCACGTCGGTGATATTGTGGACACTGTGACCTGATGAAAAAAACTTTCACCCACATTCTCCTATGCGAGGTTGGGTTTTTTTCCCCCTCTTTCTAGTGGCAAATATGTCATAAATCAACTAAAGGTGGTTGAAGGCTTGGCTTGAATTTTGCCGTGAACTGCAATGTCATCATCATTTTTATATTTTATTAAAAAGGAGCAATGGTAGAACTCCTCCTGAGGGAATCATAAACACACCCACTGTTAATTTCATGTAAATCAGTCCGGCTGACATGGAGATGCTTTACAGCCTGGCAGATGGAAGGTTGTCATCGTTTCCTGTCATAAATGAGACTAAACGCACCGATATGGAATGATATAGCCGTATTGATTTCTCTCTCTCTCTCTCTCTGTTGGTTAATAGAGGCGATCATTAAAGTGAGTTAAATGTTAAAAAACTCGCTGCGTGTTCTCACTCTGAGCAGCAGGCGTCATTTCAAGCTGCGTCTCTGCGTGTTCACATAATGCAGCCGTGCGGTGATGGTCGATAAACTGTCACAGGTGCTCGAGGCGTCGTCTTCAGATTTCTTTTGTTCGAGCATTTTACAGCGATGCTAAGCAGAGAGAGAAGTATTGAATGCTGCTTTTAGAAGCTGGAAGCAGAAGACACTTGTCACATTTTCTTGATAAATGACTAAAGTGATTTAATCAGTTCGTGGTTGATTAACACTAATCTGTTAAACTTGCACAGAGTCTCTTTAAGCTTCGCCAGCCATCGAGTGCAGAGAAGAATTAAATGTATGTATCAATGGGGCTGGCCCGATTACCATTTACTGGGCTCAGGAGGTTCAGGGGTAATTGACAGCAACTATTCAAACCCTTGGTTGGAGGACTGGGGCGAACTGGGTGCGCTGATCGGCACCAGCAAAGACACTCGTCTTTCGGCTTTGTTAAACACAAAAGCAACACTGATTTCCTCCATATTTAGACATAACTAGGTTTGTTTGTCTTTATTTTCCTCCAACGCAATGTGTGCCTCCCCATATGGAAAATATATATATAAATCTTATAAAGTTTGTATCTGTCTTTTGTGAAACTTGTATGAAAAGCATACAAGAGTGAAAACAGATATAAGATCCCTTGAAAAATTATATAATGAAACTTGTATGTTTTGGATACTTACTAAAACAATGTATGAAAGTAATGAGAAAGTGGTCACTTTCATGAGTAAATCATATAAGTTTTTACTATTTCTTTTCCATATGGGTCTGGATGATCAACAAACCAAGAGAACAGCACTGAGCATGTGCAGAGTGCTGAGTGGCACTGATAATGACTGAACAGTGTAGAACAGGTATATCTGTATCCAGAGCGCTCAGGTGATATATGATCTGTCTCTGCAGTTTTAAAGAACGGTTCAAATCAAGTCTTTTCAGGAGAGACATATACACTGTAAAACGCAGTATATAGTGAAACAGGAACTTCAGTGTCACCACATTCTCGATGATACCAGATTAAAGCACGTTTAACATTCTGCAACACATTTGGCATCCAAGAGTAAGAAAGCATCGTTATCCCAGATCTCTAAAAACCCGTGGCACCTCGTAGATAATCCGCCAGAGCCGTTTACCACGAGTGGTCAGCAATGACCAAATCATAAAGATTGCAGCGGTGAGTCAGAGACTTGGAATATGTAACGAAACATAGAGATGCATGCACCGCTGAATTAAAAGTGCAAAAGTGAGGAGGCGGCGTGCATAAGCACACATGATGTGTGCTGAAAAGGTGTTCTTTGAATGCCAACATAACATTTGTTCAATAAATCAGAAACACCCGATGGAAAACAAGCATCAGATCCAATCCAAGGCAAGGTCCCCAGCACAAACCCAGAATGTTGTATTTAGTCATTCAAGAACTAAATGCGTAATTGTAGAGGCTTTAACCAGCTTTTTTTTTTTTTACAGTAGTAACTGTAAAAGCTTCCCCTCACACCTTTGGCCACACCCTTTTTTATACCAAGAGTCATTGGAGCCTTTAAAAAATAATCTGAGTTTAGATTAGAAAAAAACCCCTCAAGAATCCAGCAGGGTGGACTGGAAAGAAGTGAAAGCAGCTCAC